GAGGAATATGTTTTTAAAATAAAAATCATAACAACAACAACAACAATAATGATAACAACAACTGTGTGCCATCAAACTGATTACAACTTATGGAGATCCTTTCCAGGGTTTTCTACGTAGCAAATACTCAGGAGCAGTTCACTGTTCCCTTCTTCTGGGAGTGCTTTGGGACTGTTCAGCTTGCCCACGGCTGTACAGGCTAGCTCTTCTCTCAGGAGGCACAGTGGGGAATCAAATTCTTCCCCCCCACCACTCTAAAAATCCCTACGGCACATCTAAAATTATAGCAGCAGTAAAGCCTTGAAAATTTGTGTACTATTCAATATTATTCTTTATGATGTCTGTAAAAGAAGCTACATTTGTAAATAGCGACATGTTTTCAAGGACCTACAGTGGGGTCTTGACTTAAGAACTACTTGAGTTAAGAACATTTTGACTTAAAAACCACTCTCATAGGAAAATATTGACTTGACTTAAGTACTTAGATTTGAGTTAAGAACTGAAAAAAACCCACGTGGGAGGCAGGGAAAGTGCAAAATGTGAACTTTCAGCTAACTGTTGGCCAGTGAAAAGGGTGCCTGTCTGCTTCCTCACTCCTCCCAGCGTTTAGAGAGTGGATTGGGAGTCTTCAGACTGCCTGGTACCGCCTGGACTGTATTTTCCCTGCCTTCCCTGAACCTTTCTTGACCTAAGAAAAAAAGAAACAAAATATCCTCCTCTAGTGGTCGAAGGCAGAATAGCAGCTTCCCATTAGTTTCTATGGATGGAAAAGAGCAGATACGGATCAAATGGTTTTCAATGCATTCCTATGGGAAATGCAGATTTGACTTGAGAACATTTTGACTTGAGAACCGCCTTCCAATACGGATTAAGTTCTCAAGTCAAGACCCCACTGTAGTATATTCATAAGATTTGCTTCTAGCCCCAAAGCCCATTTGTACAAGATCAAAGCATCCTCACAACCTTACAGTTTCTCACCTTTGATTTTTAAGCAGCAAGTTAGATTTTTACATGCCATTTAGATAAAGCTCTTTAGTGTTTTTTAAAGCAGCAAAACAGGAGAAAGATAACACAAACCACATTCAAATGACGAAGACTCTTTTACAACTAACTAAACATCCTGGAGTAGAAATTCGGGGGGGGGGGAGCAGTGATGTGGTACCTGCTTTGCATGCAGCCTGTCCCAGGGTCCTTTCCTGGCCTCTCCACATAGGGCAGAAAAACTCTAACCCGAAGCCCTTGGAGCTCTCTTCTCCTCAGTGTCAACAATAATAGTCTAGTGCAGTGGTTCTCAACCTTGGGTCCCCAAATATTCTTGGAATGCAACTCCCACAAGCCTTCACCACTAGCTGTGCTGGCAAAGGCTTCTGGGAGTTGCAGTCCAAGAACATGGGAACCACTGAGCTAGTAGATGGACCACTAGTCAGACATAGTACAATATTTTAGTATAATTATCTTCCTAAAATAATTGTTGGATGCCTACTTGTTACTGCTTTTCTCTCCCAGCGCTTCCTGCTTGCTGTGCTACAGTGTCCCAGTGAAAGGAACTCACTGTTCCGACTCTCCTGTCATACACTTGCAATAAACCCACTAGTTTAACAATACTGTACAATGTGCAAGCCAGTAACACTACACAGCCAAAATCTTGCTCATTCTTACACATAATTCCCAAGGTGACACTTAAAACTATTAAGAACCACATCACAGTTTTGATTTGCAATACTCGTTTATTCCTATCGGGACTGCAGATATATCTAACGGAAACTAAAGTACTGTTTCAGGAGGATGAAAGAGAAACTCGATTGGATAAAATTCTGCTGGCATAAAATTATGCCACAGAAATAGGATCTGATTGTGAGAATAATTAATTTAAACTACAGTAATTAAAAGTTTCCTATCCCTCCCTTTTCAGGTTCTGGGTCTCCCTGGGTCACCCTTTAGCACCAGGGAAGCCTTTGGAAGCCTGGAGAGGGTAGGGGGAGCCTTTAACAGTCAAAGATTGCTGCTAGGCCACCACAGCTAGGACTGGGACTACTGGAGGTGATCCAGCAGTCTCAATCCCAAAGGCAGGATGGATCATGAAATCACCATTTTTAAAAAACTGATTTTTGACCATTTAAATTTTAATTTTTTAAAAAAAAATAAATAAATTGTGATTTAAATTGATTTTATTTATTTATTTTTGAAAATCATTGATTTTTATCTACCCCGCCCAAAGGTTTCCCTGGGAAAAACAGAAGCCCTAGGCCAGGGAACCTCAGAACCTGAAAGGGGGGGGGAGCGAGATGTCAATTTGTTTAAATTATTTCCAGTACCTATAACGGTTTACGCTGACATAACTTTACACATAATTTTGGCCACTGCATTGTACTATTATGGTACTGCACTGTATTTTCTTTACTACAATACATACTGTGAACAATAAATGGAATTCCTTGAACCATGAAGAGGTACATATACATACTACAGTGGACCCTCTACTTAAGGAATTAATCCGTATTGGAATGGTGGCTGCAAGTCGAAAAGTCTGTAGGTTGAATCTCCATTGACCTACAATGCATTGAAAACTGATTAATCCCATAACCAGCGGTTTTTATTCTATTTTTGTTCCATTTTGGGTTTTTTCTGGTCTGTAAGTCGATTCTCCGGCTGCAAGTCGAATCTAAATTTTGCAGCCAGAGAAGTCTGTAACTCGAAAAATCTGTAAGTCGAGCCGTCTGTAAGTCAAGGGTCCACTGTAGGTAAAAAAAAAAAAATCCCCTGTCCAAACCTTACAAAGGATTTTGGAAACAACAATCAAGAATGTGCAGAAATGGAAACAGGAACACTGGGCCAATTCCAATTTACAGTACTGAGCCGGTAAAGAGAAGCAGGATCCATCTGGATTGGGTGGGCAATGGGCAGCCTCTCCAATGCTGTTTCTGTGCCCACAAAAGTGGTCTTCTCAGGAAAACATGGAAGCCACAAAAAGCAGAGATATTCACCTTTTAAATAGGTTGCAGGTTCGCCTTTGCAGTGCTGAATACTGCAAAATACCCATTTTTTAAAAAATTGGAAGTGAACATGGCAATCACTTCTTCCACCACCACTTTTTTGACTGGACACAAAAAGTTGGTTCCAGGACCCACTTAAATTGCTCACCCCACTGTATGTTATAGGAAATCACCACCAATGACAGGGTGGGTGAGGGGGAAGCAGATTCTCCTCCTATTCTTCCTCACTCAGGCAACATCTACTGTATGTCAGCTGCTAAGAGGCACTTCTATATATACACATACTGTATAAAAAAAGGTAACGGTTCCCCTTGACAAATTGTCCAGTCATATTCTACTCTAGGGGGCGGTGCTCATCTCTGTTTCGAAGCCGCAGATACAGCATTTGTCCATAGGCAGTTTCCGTGGTCAAGTGGCTAGCGTGACTAGACACAGACCACCGTTACCTTCCCACCGTGATGGTACCTATTTATCTACTTGCATTTCGAACCACTAGGTTGGCAAGAGCTGGGACAAGTGTCTGTCGCATGGATTCAAACTGATCTTTGCGGTTTAACCCGCAGCGCCACCACATCCCTCACATACATATACACATATACACATACAATAAATTTCAGGTATTTCTGAAGTTACTACTGAAGGTATTATTTATTTACGGTACTTATAAACAGCTGGATATAATGAAATCTCTAAGTGGCTCACACTAAAATACAAATGTAATACAATACAGAAATAGTACCAAAGAGCAATTTAAAACAAATAAGTAATTGAGAATGCTTCGACAACCAATTCAAAAAGAAAAGAGTGACAGGAAAGGAACCATTACTGCCTAGATCCGGGGAACCTGGTATACTGCCAAAAGCTGTGATTCTCTCACAAGGTTAGTGTCGTGCTGTGAAAGCTTGGCTCAAAGTACAGTTGACTGGGAAACCACAAATGTGGGCATGATAACATTACAGAGGAAAGGAGCATAGTGACAGGTGCTCCCACAAGATGGTTCCAGAAAAGAGTGACTTAATATTTTCAAACTTTATGAAGCAATAATTCATCTACCGTATATGCCGGCGTACAAGACGAGTTTTGGGCCCCCCAAAACATGCCTCCAATTGGGGGGCCCGTCTTGTACGCTGGGTGCCAGGAAGGAGCCGCCGCCGCGAGAGTGATGCGGGGCTGCGCTGGCCGGGGAGGAAGGGATGGATGGAGGGTAGTGGCGCGCGTTCGCTCGCCCGCCCGCCACCCGCGTTTCCACTCTTCTTCCTCCTCCTCTTGCTCCCGCCGCCGGGAGGGAGGGAGCCGTCGCCGCTGAGAGAGTGATGTGGGGCCGCGCAGGGAGATGGAGGAAGGGAAGCGGTGCGCGCTCGCGCACCTTCCACGCACTTGCTTTCCCTCTTCCTCCTCCTTCTGCTGCCGCTGCCAGGGAGGAACGCAGACAGGCAGGCAGGCAGATGGAGGGAGGGAAGACGTTCGCGCGCCCGCCACGCCACCTCTCTTCCTCCTCCTCCTCCTTCTCCTGCCGCCGCCCCCCCAAGACTCTTCCCAGCGCCGCATTTTGGGGGGGTCTAATACGCCCCGTCGCCGTATACGGCGGCATATACGGTACTAAAACCAGTATCCTAATAAAAATTGTAAACAAAATAAATATATGAAAGATATATTTCATGTGTATATTTTAAATATATATCACTTGCACAATATTTTAAACTGCTCCAATATAAAAGTGAGGCAGAGTTTCCCACACAGCAGCTGATCAGCAGATAAGGACTTGCATATGTGAGTATATGTGCATGTGTCTATATACTGTACATGCATGCGCGCACATGCTCTTCTCAATTATTTTAAGGCATGGAAAATTACCCCAGAGAAAATGTCACACGCAGGAACCTTGAGAGAGCCCAGGGAATTATGCTAAGTGGCAAACAATCACAAATACAGGAAGTAGAAATGTTTCAGGAGCTATCACATGGCAGTACACAGCACACAACACATTTTAATAGTCTCCAAACTCACCTTTGTCTCCAGATTCTATACTTTATTCAATCTCTTGATATAAAGGTAATCCCAAGACTCCAAACTCCTTAGGTTTAAAGCAGGGGGTTTCTGTGAAACCTCATCACCTGGAAAAATACAAAAGCCAATGGGGGGAGTAAATTACTTTCTGAAGAATAAATATGTACTTAAAACTAACTTTCAGATCAGCCTACCCTCTAATTTTCAGCCCCGCTGGGTGGGGCTCTGCTACTCACATTATGACCAGAACCTAAGGGGTTGAATGTGATGGCTGCACAGAGGAGGAAGAAAGCTGTGAGGAGGGAGGCAGAGATGCCTGCATATGGTGCTCGGCTTAAAACCTTGTTTCAGATGTGTGTGGATTTTGTGTGAGAGGGTATACGCAGGGATTACATGTATACATAGAAGAACATACATATATTCACACTATTCCACTACCACATGGAGACTGAGTTGCTACTTAAAACATAAAGATATCCTTTAAAACAGAACCATAAGCCCAAGACTGTACGCATACATGCCACTGGTCAAGAAGCATCTAAGAAGAGCCACAGATCACATATTAATACTATATCTTGTATAATAACAATATTGAAAAGTTAGGCTGAAACTTCTAAAGCTTCTAAACCACACTGTGTCACAACATTCACTGGATGAGCTTAGGACAGACATTCATTCATTGTCTCGTTGTCAGGCAGACCTACCTCATAGTGGCCAAGATCCTGTCAGGGATTTATACCAGCATAAAGGTAAATGTTTAAATCATGGTGGCAAATTATATTAATTCATGAGTTGCCAATTGCACCCCTGGTTGTGTGCCTGATTGGGCACCAAGTTGCTCCACGAACGAGAGCAGCAACTGAGTTGCTACTTAAAACATACACCACTGATATTTGTGCAATGGCTGGATCTTTATTTGTATCACAGCACTGCATAATTTAGAATTATGTATACTGTATATCTGAAGTACAGATACAGTTCAAACTAATTTAAAATATTAAAACGATTAGGCTATTTATGACCAGAAGGAGGCTACTTCAATGGTGTTATCTTGGTCTTTTACTTCTTTAGTACACATGGTGGGACATACATTGCACGCACGTAAATGCTGCATTGTTTGAATTTCTCCATAGTCACAAACAATTTATCCTGTATCCAAAAAGCCCCATTCTACTTGAATATTCTGTGATCTTCCTACTTCACTTCAAAGTCTATTAAATGACTTCCACATAGTGTAGCCAAAACCTTGTCCTGCTGGAAGACAATATTTGACATTCTTCAATTTGGCAAAAATTATAATAAATATCTCTTAATTGATATAAATTACAATATTTTCACAATTTAAATTGAGTCAATTTGTCAACATCACAAAATAAGGGATGGCTAATGAAAGGGGTATGAAAGAGTATAAAACATTTTATTTTGCTGGATGTTCCAAATTTTTACTCCGTTTCTAAGGACTGGATTGTCCAATTATATAGTGCCATAGAATTAAATTTTACAGGGGAAAATAAACATTATTTCAGTTTTTCCAAACCCTGAAATTTTATTTCCAATGGTTGCCATGTGAGAGTTTGGGAAGTAACAAGTTTAGGAAATAATAGTTTTATCTGCATATTATACCTGAACATTTGGGACCCCCAATCATTTTCTTTATGATGGAAATTAATGACATGAGATACTCTTGATTTCTTTGAGCTATGAATAAAATTTTTACAAGTACTCTGCCAATATTTAAAGGTTACATTGGATATCCCCGTAAGCAGAACATGAAAGAGATAACCTAGGCAGAACGGACATCTTAACTGCTCCAACGCGACTAAGTAATTACAGATTCAATTTTTGCCATTGTATTAATTGTTATTTAACTAGATATAACAGTAGCTTTACTTAAAATTATTAATTTTAATCAACTGAGAGGGAACCATGACTCCTAAGTATTTTGAGGAGCTGGTTGTAGGAATACCTGTTAGGTGACATAAATGTTGATTATCAGTAGAAGACATGTTAAGTACCAGAATCTTAGATTTGCAAGGATTAAATTTTAACCCTGAGGCTACACCAAACTCTTCAAGAATTTTAAAACATGTGTGAGAGAACTGTCTGGTTTAGATATTGTAAATGGCAATGTGATCTGCAAATAGATTTATCACACATTTTTGCCCTTCAACAAAGACTCCCTGAATATTTGGATCTGTCTTAATGATATTGGCTAGTGGCTCAACTGCAAATGCTAAAAAAAAAAAAAGAAGAAAGTGGGCAATATTTATAGAATCTGAGTTCATATTATTACTTCTCACCATGGCTTGGTGTATTTCATAACATGTATGCAATACTCTTAAGGTTCCCCTACATTTCCACAGCTTCACATACTTTCCAAGTGAAATGCCATTCCAAAAGCTATCGAAAGCTTTAGTAACATCAAACAATGCAATGGTGTATGTATTGGTTGTTGTGGGTTTTTTGGGCTCTTTGGCCGTGTTCTGAAGGTTGTTGCTGACTATGATATATATACCTTGTCGAACAGTCTTCTGATTGAAACAGAGATTTGTCTCTATTTTATGAAACTAAATTGATGTTTTCCAACAAATGTTGTGGCAAGTTCCCCCAATCAGTTGGTGTATATACCTGTAAATAATTTGGCATTGATCAAATAGTATAACTGGACAATATGAATTGACTTCTGTGGGATCTTTATTTAGTATTATTCTGGCCAAATTCCAGGAGGGGGAGGTGTTGGATAACCATTCATAATTGAGTTATAAAAGTTAAGTAGGAAAAGTGATACCTGCTCTTCAAACATTTTATAGAAACATCTACCAAAGCCATCCAAAACCAGATGCCTTGTGTGGTTCTAAATTTTGTTTTGATTTATGTAACTCCTCAGATGTAGTTTATACAGGAAGAGTCTATCATCTTCAACAATTTTTAAAAAAATTACTTTGGCTATCAAATAATTAATTTTAGTTTCATTTGGGTGTGATGTAGTGCATTGATCTCTTTGACATAGTTAACACTTGTTGTTCTTAGTTTCTCTGTCGTTTCTTTTCTGCATCATAAAACTGGGTTCAATAATCATGAAAAGGGCTTACGTCTTGGCCCAAAAGGATGAAATATTGCTTGGAATGGCTTGTGATCAGAAACTTTTAGGAATCCAATTTGTACTAACCTAAGATATATTTCCCATGTATTCAAAACCAGTATATAATTTATCACTGAGTAGGATTCATGTTGTCTGGAAAAAATAAGAGTAGCCCTTTCTCACATGGATGAAGTTCTCTCCAGTTACCTATCAAATTGAATTCACTAAAAAGTTGTTGCAGCCAAGTGTGATGTTTAGCTTTATTAGTACTACAGTACTGTCTAAGGTACTCGCAGTTAAATTAAGTAGGACCTCACCCCTATTGAAGGCATATAGTTTTAACAATGTATCTCAAAGAAAAGAAACTTCTTGTGTATTTGGACTATATATGGATCCTGTACTTTTAACTTAACATTGTCAGTAGATCCTTTTACGAAGAAGAACCTGCCATTCAGACCTTCTAACTCTCCTTCACACTGGAAATTTATCTGTGGAGATAAGGCATACTTCACGTGATTTAGTACTCCCTATGATTTAAAAGAACCTACAGCTGAATGATAAGAACTTAACCTATCTGTGCCATAACGTGGGATGGGTCACCTTTTTGACGGGTTTCTTGCATCATCTATAGATGCTAGGGTCCTCATGTTTTATTATGCTATGGATTTGCATTTGTTTAATTGAAGAACCCACTGCATTGACACTGAATGATGTCACTTTCAGATCTGGCATCTTAATTTAAAATAGGAAGATACCTTGAGTTGACCTGAGAACGGCTGCAATTTGAATATCATAGAAAACCAATCAGAAGTCCCAACAGTAAAAAAGATAACATGTGAAACATGAAATGTTTGTTCTTTAATTTCTATACCACTCCATATAAGTGCCCTTACTACTACTCTTGGCAGTTTCCAACAGTGAAATAGACATCAGAAACATAAACATATAAAATATAATAAGAACAACACAGCTAAACACTCAGGATGGTGTCAATGGGCAGAATGCACACTATATAAATAAGCTGTAATGCTGAAAAAACTATTTGTGGCACACTAACCATGGCCTAAAAAGCCCCTCTAAAATTCATGTGAATCAATTACATAGGGAGTTCCAGGCTGTCATCCAAAAGACAACAGCAACGAGAAAGCAAAACTTGAGAGGAATGTAGACGGGACAACAGTAACCTTTTTATATTAACCTTGTTCAATCAATATTTGCAAAATACTCAAAGGAGAACAGAGTCTCAAGTCAGAAGAATTCTAATTAGATAAAATTATCACAGAATTAACAACTGCTTGTCTTACTATCGTATGGGGTGAACACAATCGAGTTTGGCTTGCCTTTTTCCTTACCACTCCACAAGGAGGTATCAGGAATGGCCCAAAAGATTCCCAAAGTGGAAATTTCTCCAGGAGGGATTATATGCAAGGACAGTAAGTAATCCAAGGCCTCAGAGAGTGAGTTAAGAATGATTTTTTCCCCATTACGATTAATAATCAGTTTTGCTGAATGCTCCCATCTATATGTTATTCCTTTTTCATGTAAGAGCCTTTTGAATGGCTGATATATTTTGTGATATTGCAATGTGAGGGGACAAAGATCTTGTATGTTTGCATTCTGGAACATAACAAGATTCTTGCTTTCAGGAGCTGCTAAAATGGCATCTTCCATAAGTTCCCTTACAAATCTGACAACTATGTCACCAGGCTTTCTGTTTCCCCTTAAAATTCTAGGCACTGGGAAAAAATCCTTCTTTGAAATATGCACTTCAGGATACAGTAAACAATTGGACGGTTAATCAGTTCCAGATTCGGGAAAACGGACTCCTCTTACTCTCAAATTGGGGCATTTCCCTTTGTTTTCCAGGAACTAAATTTGGGCCTGCAGATCTGCCATGCAGCCTGTCAGAGAGAGTTGGTGCTCAGTCTTCAAGTCCAAGGCTTGATTAGCAGTAGTTGCTAGTCTTGATCATTTCTCTGACAGATGTCTGTTTGACGAGGATGGAGAGCAGCATTCAATCCCGGC